ACTTATAAAATAGCCCAGCCCTACTCGCCAAAGCAGGAAGCCATTGGCAGAGCAATTGTAACCTGGAGGGCTCACCAGATTATTTACACTGCTTTCCTCTTTCCCCCATCCGCCACCAGTCAGCTCCGTGTATAAAACTCTGTGTAACTGCGCCTTATTGTTGGCTCATTCTTAGCTTTTATTCTCTATTTGCATTTAAACTTTTCTAGGCTATTCCATGTGAAGGGAACTCCTTAGAGGCCTGTGGCATAGTAGCTGCTATAGTTTGAATGTTTGAGTTCCTCCAGAATTCATGTCGAATGTCATCTCTACTGCGGTGGTATTAAGAGGAGAGGCCCTTGGGAAATGATTATGTGATGAGGGCTCTGCCCACATGAATGGGATTAGTACCCTTATAGAAGAGGCTTCAGAAAGCTGCCTCCTCCTTCCGTCTCTTCCACCATGGGGAGGACACAGTGTTCGTCCCTTTTGTCCTTTTTCCCTCCGCCATGTGAGGATGAATAAGAGGAGCCATCTATAAAGTGGAGCAAGACAGCCTCCACCAGACACCAAGTCTGCTGGCACTTTGATCTTGGACTTCCCAGCTCCCAGAACTGTGAGAAATGAACTTCTATTGTGTATCAATTACTCAATCTAAGGTATTTGGTTATAGCAGCAGGAACAGACTAAGACAATAGCTCATTTTCACTTTCCTGCAATGTTTTTATCAGTGGAGGGAGACTTACTGCACAATGCTTGGTGGATGGTTAACTAGTCCTTCTTCCTTCCTTAGAGGAACTATAATTAAATGACTGAAAATAGTTTATGTCATGAGAAGTCGAGTCAATGTTGTTTAGTGGAAGAGCTCAGACTTCAGAATTGGAAGACATGGGTGAGTCCTGACTTTTCACATCTTAGAGGTGTGATGTTGGGACTTTCTGAGCCTTAGTTTCCTCATCTACCACCAGGAGTAATATCATCTGCTAATGGCAGCTATGAAAACTAGATGACACTATGTATGAAATGCTTTGAAAATCACAGAGAGTTCGAAAAAACGAGTTAGCTATTAGAGTAAAAAAGAAGTAAGTGTCATAGTCACTAACTTGTTCTTTAAAATAAAGAATAACCTCAGTACAGCTGGGAGCCTTGGACTTGGCAACCAAATACCTATAACAGGGATGTTCTGCTAATGAAGGGAAACAGAATGAGACTCTGTGTGAAACTGTCATTCTGAAATGGTGCATGTTATTCCTGCAATTTAAGGAGTAGTTTTTTCATTAAAACTACTTTGTAAAGTGGCATCAGTGCCGGTCAGCAGAGTTATATAGCCAATGTGGATGTTCTCTGCGTCCTGGGTTGGGAAAATACTGGGACAATGGCAGATGAGATGACATTTCTGGTTTGCAAATCACATCCTGGTCTTATTTCTCTGGACAGAGCTGAATAAGTGCAGTTATCTGAACTTAAACATTGCCCAACACAGAAAGGCCCACGACAGCTAATCTTGAGAGAGAGCCATGGGTGAAGGGAGCTTGTCAGAAGTTGTGTCTCCTTGAAATTGACAGCAGCAGTACCAAGGAGATGGCCAAAGGCTGCCAGGCCTCTTTAGAACTCTCTTGGCTGCTCTCTTTTCTTTTCCATTTTTATTGTAATGGTGGTGGCATGCGTATAAGAACTTTCATTGCGGTGGTTCAGACAGCTGAGAAAGCAATTCTCAAGAACTATTTTTAGCCTGAATATCCATTTTTTTCCTTCTTCCTTTCTCTTTCCTCCTTCCCCAAGCTTGCTTTTTACAGCTTATAATGGGTGCCCCCATCACATAGCAGCCCTGTTTGGCACCAGCATTAGCCGAATTAAATCACAGTTAGTTCAATCCCAAATACCTGGTTCCTCCTTGTCACCCTGCACATGACATTTGCCTAAAGATTCTTCGGGATTCCCTTCAGTGCTGCCCTGGCAGGGTCCTAGGAGTAGTGTCTCTGCAGAGAGACTGCTCAACAGCAGCTAGGCAGGGAGAGAGGCCAGGCGCTGAAGGAGCTGTATCTTCCGTGATCTGCTGTGGTAATGCACACCTTTGTGAAATCCTTTTTAACTTTCACTTTGCAGTTCTCAGCGAGTCTTTGGCCATTGTCTTCCCTTGGCATCCCAGGCACCTTTTTGTAGTGTGGAGATGGAATGCTACTTTCCAAGATGAGGGATGAGAGTAACTCACATCCTTTGATGCTCCCTATCCCACACCCTGACGGTAGTGATCAGATTAAAGCAAGTTAAAAGCACATCAAGGGCAACTTGCAACGTGATATAAGCCACAGAATTGCTGTCAGAAGTGGGGTAGAGCAAAGCCCCACCCCCTCATTTTAGGCAGTTATGAGTGAGACTCTGAAATGTGTGAGGTCTTTAAAGTTGCCTCCATTCACAGGATCCCTTCCTTCTGGCTACCACCCAAATTCGATATTCAGAGCCAGCATGGGAGACTGCCCCTCGTCCATCCCGCCAACCCACCGCCCATCCACCTGTGTCAGTTTCTGAGTTTATCCCATCCCACACGTGGCTCAGCCTTGAATGTACCATAGCTCCCACAATTAATGATACTGTCTTGGTAACAAAGAGATTTATGAATTTGGATACAGCCTGGCCCTTGCAACTTCAGAGGGACAATTATCTTAATTGTAGATCTTGGAGTTAGGTCTCTAAAGACAGGCCCATGATTTGTGAGAAAGTCTAAAGGATATGCAGGTGACACCTATTGGAGTCACCCTTCACCAGTTCACATTTCTGAGCAGCACAGACACCTCTGGCAGACTTGGGCCTCACGTTATTGGTCTTCTCCAGAGCAAGAGACAAGCTGGGCTCCAGGATCACACAAGCAAGGACCATGACTCACATGGGGGTGCAGGCTGGGGCATCTCCCATGTCTCTTACGCTAATTCTTTTCTTTAACTTGCTCATAACTGAGGCTCAAGTAGCAGCCAGGAGGGTACATCGAAGAAGGCAAGGGGCCAGCACAAATGGGGATGAGGTCAGCTCCTTGGGGAGGGACTGATGACATGCCCAGATGGCCGCCAATGGTCTTATTGGCACCTATAATCCTGGATGTCTGTCTTAGGAGGGACATTTGGTAGAAAGATAAGTGACCATGGATACTGTGGACATGTGTGGTGGGGCAGATGAGTATCACAGAGAAATAAGGCTTGGTGGGGCAGCAATCCAGTCACTGGCAGAGTGGAGTCCAAGGTAAGGCACAGTTATAGAGGAATGTGGAGGCCACTTCCTGGGATGTGGGACCCTGCTGTTACAGCAGAATTATCAGCAGAGCTGCCGGCATGCCCTGAAGGTGAGCAACTGGCCAGGCTTGGGATGATCTCTCCTGAGAGGTGGGACTGGGCTTGGAGTCACAGCAAGGCTGAACCTCAGATGTGCAGGTGATGCGGACAGTTAAGTTAGAACATCACACATCCAGCAGTTAGAAAACCAGTTTACAGGGGCTTCAGCTGTTTTTTTGTTTTGTTTTGTTTAATAGTATACAGCTTCATAGTGATCTACATATTCATGTGTAATTTAGAGCCAGGGAAGGTGTCATCATGATTGGAATTTAATTGGGTGTCTAGTAAGCAAAAAGCAAGGTAGGATGTTCATGAAATTTACCGGAAGAAGAGAATGCCTGAAGGAAGCCTAGTACAAATAAGGGAATCCCTATTTTCTAGTGGGAACCACCGCAAGGAAAAGGCACTAGTCAGACACTTAGGAAATGAGTTCTCAAACGCAGACATCCCCAGCCTGCGGGTCTAGATGAGGGTTCGCAATAATGTTCATACTCAGATATCTCAAGTACATCACCACTTACCTGCTGTCATGGATCCCAGTATCCCACAGAGGCACCTAAAAGTATTTTTGGAGGTTCCAGGGGGTGTCCACAGCAAGCTAACTTCCACTGGACATGACCATGACTCCCACTGGGCCCCCAGGGGACACCATGGAGGCCTTGGGGCCATCATGGTGTCCTATCATATTTCAGAACTGTGCCTTTTCCCACTGTCAACCTGTCACCTGAGACTCAAGCAACTCAGCTTTGAGCCCCACCTTTCTACCAGCCTTGCAAAGCCCTGCTCCCAAATCCTCCTTAGGCTTTCCCTTCCAGGTAAACCCATGCAAATAAAGGTTTGGAGATCTCACTTCAGACCTGATTAGATCTCAGTTTCATCTAAATTCTTTTCCATGGGAGCACAATTCAGAAATGAGGACAAAACAAAATTCTAGTTGCCTAATAATTTTTTGTGAACATTACTATAGTCGTGCATCTCTTAATGATGGGGATAGACTCTGAGAAATGTATCATTTTGTTATGCAAGTATTATACAGTGTACAGTACAAACCAGGAAGGTGCAGCCTACTACGCATATAGGCTGTATGGGGTATGGTATAGCCTGTTGCTTCTAGGCTACAAACCTGCACAGCATGTTACTGTATTGAATACTGTAGGCAGTTGTAACACAATGTTAAGTATATGTGTATCTGACATATCTAAAGATACTTTACACAAGTGGCAGCATAGTAGGTTTGTTTACACCATATTACCACAAATGTATAAGTAACGTGTTTCTCTGTAACTTTACATTGACTATAATGTCAGTAGGTGATAGATAGCTTTCAGCTCCGTTGTAATCTTATGGGACCCTCATTACATATGCAGTCTTTCCTTGACTGAAATGCCATTATGCAGTACATGACTGTATTTTATAAGATGAGCCTAATTTGTGTTATACTTCTCGGGAATGAAGGCATACCCTACAGGAGTTTTTGGCTTCTGTGTTTGACAGATATGTCTGCTTTTCTTTGCTTCCACCTCCCCCTAAAGGAAATAACAGTAGTAAGACGAAGAAAGAAGAAACTAGTAGTGAAAATTAAACAGGTGAAATATTTATATAAGGCATGACAGCTGTGGTCTAGACATTTTACCCAGAATTTTCCTAGAGTAATTGCTTATCTCAGAATTCATTAAATATGCTAACTTCTCCTAGCAGATTGCCTGTCCAGCAATGCACATGGGATGCAGTTTTTGAAGTTCTGCTGTGATGATGGAACGAGCATTTCTAATGCATTTCTCTGTTATAGCAGCTGCCACATTGCATGGTATTTATATGTCTTTTCATCGTTGCACTGGGTTATTGTTAAGTACTGGGTCTTTAGCTTTCCACTATATTTGATATATAGAATAGAGTAAGTACTCAATACATATTTTTGATGAATTAATGATAAATAGAAAGAAATTCCAGCAACAACGTATGTTGTATTATTTTTTCTCCATATGTAACTGACCTAACTTGCTATACAGGCCACAACTTAACCTCAGTTGACAGTGTTTTCCAGCTAGGTGACCAGAACTGTTTACTGTCCATTATGATGATTTCTTAAAAGGGAGAAACTGACTGGGCTGGAGAATACTCCTGAGAAACAGAACTTGGGTTTACAGGAAGTTGGGTTCTAAGTAAACCACCAATTTAAAAATAATTTGGTTCAGGCCAAATATTCAGATAGGGAAAAAGAAGGAAAGCAAAAAACAAATGAGCTTTTGACAAGGTTGATCATATCCTATACAAAATATTGTTTAAAACTCTTCAGCTTCCAGGATCAGAAAACCGTAGGAAATATGTAAATTATTCACGGTTACCTGGGAAACCCTTTCTGATAGGAAGGGGGGAAATCACAGGGTTGGATAGAAATTCAAGGAGTCAAATTGTAATATGTTTGTGTTTATGTTTGCTTGTTTGTTTGCCACAGAGGAGGAGTAGGGAAAATTTCTGAAGGAAGGTAACATGAAAGGAAGAATAAAGCTTGTCTGTACAGGGAAGGCCGAGAAACTTTAGGTCTCTTGAAGGTGTAATTTCCAAACCATGTGTCCCTAGGCCATCCTGTTTAGAGTGCTAACAATAGTGGACCTCTCACCTGGGCTGTCAGAACCCCTTTCTAGAAGCGGCTTCCTCCCCCAACGCATGATCAGTAAGGGATTCTCCGTGTTGGCAGAGTGGGACTCCATGCCCATGGACACATCTGAGGATGGGCACCCAGCAAAGCTGGGCAGGCAAGGCCTCTTCTTTATAATATTTGGACAGAAAAGCAAAGGGAGCTTTGCTTTTCTGGAGGTTACTCCTCCAGCAGCTGAAGCTGTGAGTACCTAGGAACCATACCTGGCCATCAAGGGGAGAATGTGGCGAACAGAGATGAGAGATGGAGGGAAAGCGCTGGTGTGCCTGAGTCCCTGGTTCCCTGGTGTCCTGGTGCCCAGCTGCATGCTGCCCTCCCCACAGCTTGGTTATCCAGTCCTTCCTTAGATTCCCTGAGCCAGTGTTAATTCTCCTGTTGTTTAAGCTGGTTTGATGTGCATTGCCATCACCTGAGATCAAGTGAGTTCTCAAACACAGGCAATTGCAGACTTCAGGCACTGGAAGAGGGCAAGAAGGAAAAGCTAAGAGGGTAAAGTAATCAACTTCCTTGTGAGAGAACTCTGGAGCACCACAGGGTTGAGGCTGAGGTGGCCATTTCAGTATGAATTGAAACTGGTTCTTTTCCCTATAGCTAGAACAGCTAAAAATGTTCAGATTGTCACACATCCACCCGCTCCAGGGAACCTGAGATGACCCATAAATGGGTTAAACACTTACCAGGGGCAAGGCATTATGCCATCTGTGATATTTATGGTCTGAGATATAAAAATAACTTTTAAAAAAATGAGTGCTTTTCCTCAAGGAGCTCACAGTCTGATAGAAGGTATCACACAGATACATGTGATTCATTGTGAAAAAATATCTTAAATGAGAGACACGCCACCATGATTTCAAACAGGGGCAGTACCTTCCTTTGTCTTCAATACTCAAGAAATGTTTCAGATTGTGGTTCAGCTGAATCTTGAAAGCGAATAGGAATGGATATGGAAGGGGCCAAGAAATTTCAGCAGAATATATATGGCTGTCTTTATACATGCCGCCCATGTAGAAATGTGAGAGTGGATTAGCATGAGCAGCATAATAGGGAGGATGGGAGAGTTGGGGAAATGAGGCTGCAGAGATGAGGGGCTAGATCCTAAAGACCTGCATTCCCTTATGAAAATGTGTGCTTTCCTGGTAGACAATGTGGAGAGTCATTAAATAATTCTTCTATGTACAGTTTTTAAATGATTATCTATCTTACCTATGTTGGCCAAGAGTAAGGTTGGTGGTTGGAAAACAGGCCAAGGAAAATCTTAATATAGTCTGAGTGAGAGAAGATAAGAGTATGGGCTGAGAAAGTAGCAGGGGCTATGTGGGGAGAACCTGATAATAATAATAATAATACAGGCACTCAAATCTGTGGGAAAGGGGACCAATTCAAAGGAGAGACCGTGGGGATGAAGAAACCACATCGCTTTCAGCGTCCTGACCTGTGTGGCTGAGAGGTTGGTGGTTGGAATTGAGATGAGGATTAAGTAGGGGCAGCAGTGCTTTAGGAGAGAAGATGATTTGGTGACTTTTGGACTTCCTGAGTTTGAGGCGGGACACGGGGGAATGTTACCCCAAGAGCCCAGGAGAGAGAGGCCAGGATTGGAATGTGTACTGCTCTTGATCACTGGAGCTCCAGACATGACCTAAATGCCTGGTCGGGGACACGAAGGTTTAAAGGATAGTGGAGAGAGTGAGTGAGGAACTAAGACTGGGGAACCGAGAGGTGGAAGTCAAAGAACAGAGGCTGGGAATGAAAGCCTTTGGAAGGTACAGTCTCTTGCAGGAGCGAGACGATGTCGTCAGAAAACAGGCACAGACCCACATGGATTTGACAGTGAGGAGTCTTCTAGTAGTTAGTTCAATGATAGAAAATACTTTGGCTGATCATGTTTCTTTAAATATCCCCCCTGTTGTGCCTTTAATTATGTTTATTCCACAAATGTTCATGATTAGAGAATACTTGATTTGATGGATTTATGTAAAGGGTTGGTATCTCATGGAGCAAGCAAAACATCCTGATTCTGGAAACCAGACCAGCCTCTTCATAGTTAAGCATCTGGTAATAGTTATTTGGAATAATACTGCAGGGAAGTTTCATGTTGCTGTCATTTACACGTTCTGATTTTCCATCCTCCTATAGTTCACTTGAAGGTTGGAATAAGATGGCTGAAAGCTCTCCTGTCGGCCCTCTCTGAGAAGGAAAAATTACACAGATGTGATGATTGGCTGTCAGAGTTCCCCAGCACTGGGGTGGCCCACTTAAGACAAACCATATTAAATTCACTTTATCAAGTAGAGCCAATGTGTCTAACTTAAGAAAGGATATAGCATACAAATTAAGACTTGAAAATATGAATGGAATCTGTGCGATGCTTTGATCAGCATTTCTTAATATGGCATATGGGGGAAGAAGACTTCTTAAAGTTACATTTACTTCCCTTCTCTTTTTTAGGGCAGGGGAATCTGTTCACCTGCTACACAGAGTTGTCTCCTCCAAAGGAGAAACCTACTCTTTGGGAACCAAAGTACAATACAATGAAAACTATGTATTTTGAGATTAGACCTGACCTCCACTCACCTCACAAACTAAAAACAGCCTCCCCAAAATAAGAGAAAGAAAGCTGGGAAAGGAAGGTGTGAGGAACATATTGCTGTGAAAACAGATAAGAGTTGATTATATTTAGAATTTTTTTTTAACCCAGATTGAATCAATGAATACCTATGCATTGAACGTCTTGGTTTTGGGATTCCTACTGCAGGAGAATCTATTTAAACCCGAATACCAAATAAATTTCTATCATGTCTGATACAGGAATAAATCTAGCAATATTAAACAGATCAAATTCTCAAGAAGACTAGTCTGAATGGAAGCTATTCTTAGCAAAGTTTAAGTAAAGGAGATCAATATAGATATTCAAGATGGAAAAATCCTAGTAGTTAATAGAAAACCAAAATTCAAGGTTCCTCTAACCTTCAAAGCAGAGCTGTTTCAACTGCTTCTCGAGAAACAAATGTATCTCAGAGAGTTTAGCCAGGGCCCTCTGAGGCAGGGTGCACTCCTGCATCCTGTTTGTGTGGAGTCCTTCTTCCACGGCTGGAATTGTGTATGATCTTGGATACCACTCTGCCTACAGGCAGCTTCACTCGGCCAGTGTCTAGACCAAGTGGAAATCTAAAATTGAACCCTGTAACATGTGACCAGATTTACGCATTTTACATACTGTAATTACACTGTTTAGCTATTTTAAATAATATTTGTACTTAAGTTGCATGCTCCATGCAATAAAAGGAGAATTTTTTTCCTTCTAGCCCAAACTATAATGTAAAAATGTCAAGGCAGTTATTATACTCATAATTGCAATTTTGTTTAATTAAAATGGTATTCAACTGTTCTGACACATTTTTAAGCAATTGTGAAAAATAGCTGTTATGATCAGTTAGTTTGCTTCCTTGAGTGGCTAATACTTTTGTTAGATGATGATTTAGTTCTTTTCATCAGTAAATATGAAAATTAAAGTTAGATAAAACAAGCCATAATTTCGAAGTTTGTATTGGTTTATCAGTTGGGCTTTTGAATTATGTTTTAAAAATCACTTTTTCACTGTATGCCCTAATAAAAATGCAGAAACTGTACCTGTTAAAATATCCCACAGGTGTATTCTGTGGAAAAATATATCCAAAAAAAAGTCATAGCAGATGTCAGGAGGAGAATCTCTTCACAGGCGGGACTTGCTCTATTTGCATTTCACCTCTGAATCCAGGGTGTCGGATTCAAGGGTGTGCTACAAATGTATTTAAAATTGTTCTCCATTCAGCTGCTGACACTCTAGAAGGGCCATTCCAAACTTTTTCTGGTGAGGTGGGAAGGATGTTCTTTTTTCTTTTTTTAAAATGAGGTGAAATTCATATGACATCAAGTTAGCCAGTTTCAAGAGAGCAATTCAGTGGTACTTAGTGTAACTACCACCACTATCTAATTACAAAATTTTTTCAGGGCGGGCGCAGTGGCTCATGCTGTAATCCCAGCAGTTTGGGAGGCTGAGGTGGGTGGATCACAAGGTCAGGAGTTCGAGACCAGCCTGGCCAACATGGAGAAACCCCGTCTCTACTAAAGATACAAAGAATTAGCTGGGCGTGGTGGCAGGCACCTGTAATCCCAGCTACTCAGGAGGCTGAGACAGGAGAATCGCTTGAACTAGGGAGGAGGAGGTTGCAGTGAGCCAAGGTTGCCCCACTGCACTCCTGGGCAACACAGAGAGACTCCATCTCAAAAAAAAAAAAAAAAATCTAATTGCCCTGACGAAGCCCCATATTGATCTAGCCTTCCTTTCCTTCGTTCCTTCTTCCCCCTTTTTCTTTCTTACCATCCTAACGGGTGTGAAGTGGTTGTCTCATTGTAGTTTCAGTCTGCATTTCTCTGATGACTAACTGACGTTGAACATTGTTCATGTGCTTTTTGGCCGTTTCTGTACTCCTTCTGAGAAACATCCATTGAAGTGCTTTGCCCACTTTTCAGTTGAGTTCCCTTTTTTGTTGTTGTTCTTTTCAGCTGTAAGACTTCTTAATATATTCTGAACACCGGACCTTATCACTCTAAAGTTTTTATTACCTCTTAACCTACTGAAGGTGAAGAATTCTTTCCTTCCTTTGTCCTTCCATCTTTTCTTCTTTTTTCTTTCCTTTCTTTGCTTTTTATATACTGAAAGTATTGGATTTTGTTGTTAGAAATAATGGGGTTTTATTTTAGAAAAGAAAGGTATAAGGAATAAAGTTAAACTCCTCGTAATTCTACCACCAGACGGTTTGTTTTGTTTGTCTTGTTTTAGAGACAAGATCTTGCTATGTTGCCCAGGCTGGACTTGAACTCCTGGGCTCAAGCAATTCTCCTACCTGGACTGCAGGCACATGCCACCATGCCTAGCTTACCAGGGATAATTTTTATATCCCTTTTCCAGTCTTTTTAAAAAGCGTATAGGAATAACTTGCATACATATATACAAGAAAATTCTGTATATATATATATATGAGAAAATTCTGCCATTGTCACATACTGTTTTAATGTTTTAGTCTTTTTTTACATGGCAAAATTACAGTTATTTGCATCTATCAGAGCATTTGCTGTGACTGGCAAAACAAAATAGTTCCGTATCTTTGCTAATCATTTATATTCCTTTCTTCATTGTTCAACTCTTTTCTTTTGCCTACTTTTTCTGTTGCAGTTTTATCAACAATAAAAATCTCTCCTATCAATGACTAGCTAATTATGTACCCTGAATACTAGTCCAGATTATCTCATATTACAAACTTCTGAGGTTGTGATCTGCCTGTCCTTCATCATATATGGGGCATAAAGTTATTTTATACTTTTTGTTTTGTCATATCCAACTTTTTTCATTGATTTTTATCAATTGCTTTTCCAAGTAAAAAGTTATTATCCGTCAAAAGATCATATATATATTTACTTACATTTTCTCTTGTTTATTATAAACATTTTTTTCTAGTTCCATCTGGTATCATGAGATGAGAGGCTCAAACTTTTATTTTTCTAAACAGTTAACCAGGTTTCCTGATACCATTTATAGGATAGATAATTTACAATAAGTGACTCTTTTACAAAAGACCCACAACCAATGATTTTGCTCACTTTTTAAAATTTTATTTTTGAGACAGGGTCTTGCTCTGTCATCCAGGCTGGATCACAGTTCACTGCAGCCTCGATCTTCTGGGCTCAAGCGAGCCTCCTGTCTTAGCCTCCTGAGTAGCTGGGACCACAGGTGTGTTCCACCATGCCCAGCTAATTTTTTTTTTTTTTTTTTTTGTAGAGATGAGGTATTGCGATGTTGCCCAGGCTTGAGAGCCCAGGCTGGTCTCAAACTCCTGGGCTCAAGCTCCCCTCCCACCTTCACCTCCCAGAGATGTGAGCGGCAATGGCAGGCCTTGCTCAGTTTTTAACACAGTACTTTAGGTACCAGCTGTATCTGAAGCAGTTCATTTGTGGTTTGGTTTACTTGCGCTCCTATTCTTACCAAAAGATAGCCTTACTCTCATTTCAGGCCAGAGTAGCCCATGTGGCAATCCCCAGTCCCTTTTTGGAGGCCACATTGTAGTCCGAAGTAACTGGAATGCAAAGCCTCTGTGTGCCCTTGGACCCAGCTAAATCATTCCACAGTTGGATTGACCAGTTTCCTGAGCTTTCATCAAGATTTCTGGAGTTCAGTTGTCCTGCAGTCACTATACAAAGTCGGTTTTGTCACATTCTTTCTTATTTCTTAATATGTCCAGGAAGGAACAGAATATGAAGCCTTTGTAGGGTAGTGGCTACAGTGTGGGCTTTAGAGGCCACCCTGAGTGCAAGTTCTGGCTTTGTCACTTGTTGGCTGTGGAACTTCAAGCAAGTTACTTACCTCTCTAAGCCTCAACTTCTTATCTTGAGGTTTAACAGTGAACCTGCCTTAGAAGGTTATTTTGCAGTGCCTGGCACATAATAAATGTCCAGTAGGTGTTAACTACTATTGTTGATGGTGCTGGTTATATGCTAATGGTGGGTTTCTTCTGGGAGAAACTTATTGTATTTAAGTATAAGCATTAAATACAAACCAAGAACAGCCAAGCTTCTAATTAGCAAACTTTGTGTTTTAAGCCCATACTCAAAATAGGCACTCAGTTGCTGATAATAATTTACTCCAAACAATAAAATTACTTTCTTAAGATCTAATTGTTTTGGATAGAAAAAAAGAGGAAAAAAGAATAAAGCAGGCTGAGGGTGTGACAAGCTGGGAATAAAAGTATGGTGGGGTTTTAAGATCTGAAAAAGAAATTTTTTTAACACCTTAAGGAAAGAGTTGCAATATACTTTTGTTTCTTTTTTTATGCACAGTAAGTGTTCTAGGATGTAGGTAACACATGCGCTGGTGGGGAAGTACCATAGAGGAAACAGGAAGGACGCCCCATGCAGAAAATGGAAGAGTCAGAAGATGCGCCCAGCCCCTCTGTGTGCAGGGCAGGGTTGGATGAGACGTGCAGCCTGGCCAGGCCCTGCGTCTTTGTTTCTCCAGATTTTAATTCAGGCCTGAAGCCCACCCCATGGAGTCTACATGGCAAAGGGAGTCTGCAGAAGGCATGTGGCACTTTGTATTTGAATTTGGGATTCAGCGAGCTGCTGATTTGATAATGGAAGTGAATACCAAGCAGTCGCTGTCCGTGTTCATGAAATAAGGGATATCAGCTATAGTTCTAAGGATATGACACTATTTTGCCATTATCTATTGGTATTTTTTTAAATGTTATGGTAAAACAATTTCCAAAACCTATAAGCTACTAGGCATCTGTTTTAAAATAGCACTGCTATACTCATTCACAAAAAGCTGTGTGTTTCTCGTGGTGTAGCACTTTAAAGAAGTTTAATAGGGTTTGTTTTTTTAAATCAGCATTTCTCTTCGGAGATGGCTAATGAGCATTCCAAAATTTAAAGTCCTAAATGAAATTATAACACTGGATACTGCTAACAAAATGTGCAACACTCAAAAGGAAGACTAAAAGGAGAAATCTCTGTGAAGCGCCCTTCGTGGGATAGCAGGGTTGAGAAAATTTGATTACAGAACCTGAGCTTCTGCAGCAAAGGCCTGACACTGGACTGGTGACTGTCTGGGGTGTCCACCCAGCTCCCAGTGATTCCCCCTTTGCTAGCAACTGCTCCTCCCTCCAATCCAGAACCGTGGGCCCTGGCAGCCATTTTGTGCAATGGGGCATCCTTTTACCCTCGAGTCTCAGCTGATTGGGCCCAGACAGATGCTTGACCCATGAAGGAATTTACAGTTGGTGATGATAGAGGTCGTCTTTCGTTCCACAGGTACTTTCCACATTGTCTGTTTACCTTGAGCAGCAGCAAGGCAAAGAATGGCAGTGTGCAGAGAGCAGAAGCAAGCTTCCCTCCAGAGGGAAGCAGAGAAGGGAGAGTCCAGAGGGCATTCGAGTCCCCATTTCTGTGCCTCACCTTGGTCTGCTACCTTCTGAAACAAGTTCCCTGCCTGTCAAGCCAGCAGGAGTGGCTTTCCACCACTTGCCCCCAGGAGTCCAGCAGAGGCACCCTGGGAGCACGGAGGTATTCTGATTCTGTCCCCTGACAGCCTCTTCATTACCCTAAGTGTCCACCTCAATCAATGAGTTACTCTCCTAACCCACTTCACTGGCAGAAGCAGCTGGCATGGCAGAGGGACCTCAGGTAATGAGCATAGCATGCCCCAGGGCCTCACAGGGAGAAAGCCACTGCAGGCACCAGATGGCAAGAAGTCCATAGAATATTCTGGGAAGAAGCAAAGCTCTTTGTTTTCCATAAACACTGTTGGTTAAAGGGAGCTTCAAGCAACTGCACAGGAAAAGACTGGGATTCAGAGCCGAAGAGATGCACACAGTCCTCCTGGCTTAAGTGGCATGAGACACTCCTGCCTGCCTGCAGACTTGCAGAGAAAGAACCCAGAGGTGACGGGGAGCATTCCAATTGCCAAGTCAGGTAAGGCTCTCCAACCATTCCTGGTGAGGAAGCCTTAGATACCAAGAGCTTCATCCTCCATATGTCACATCTAGGTAGTTGTATCTGATGGCATCTGGATTAACTGGGTAAAAATAAAAGCAAAGTTTTCTTGAGGACAAGGATCACAGGCTCTAGCACCATGCCAAGTCTTTTGCATGCCTGGCATCACTAAACCTTTCCCACACCTATGATGTGTGCAGTGTTCCTGGCTGCCTTTTATTTTTGAGGCCATGGATAAAGAAGCTCGCTTAGGGAGCCACAGCCTATAAGTGACAGAGACAGCATCCCCCTCAGCAGTCAAAATCCAGGACCGTATTCTTACCAAATTTCTATATTGCTTCCAGCATATTGATTTAATCACTTGTGAGCCTCTTTTTTCTTTTCAAAAAAACCCAACTTGAAGGTTTCTTTATGAATTTGCTGGGGCTGCATAATAAACACCACAGACTGTGGCTTAAACAGCAGAGATTTATTTCCTTACAGTCCTAGAGGCTGGAAGTCCAAGATCAAGGTGTGGGCAGAGTTAATTTCTCCTGAGGCCTCCCTCATTGGCTGGTAGATGGCATCTTCTCACTGTATCCTCACATGATCCCCACTCTGTATGCGTCTGTGTCCTCCCCTTCTTCTAAGGACACCAGTCAGATTGGATTAGGCCACCCTAATGACCTCTTATCTCTTTAGAGACCCTGTCTGTCTTCCAATATAGCCATGTTCAAGGTACTGGGGACTTTGAACAAGGTACAAGGTATTAGGACTGCAACATTTTGGGGGGATGCAGTTCAGCCATGACAAATCCCTCCAGGGATTTTTGTGGATAGCTCTAAATTTCAGTCCATCTGATGTCCAGGGTGGGTGACAAAAGCCAGGAGAGCCCTTTCGGAACAATGACTTCTGCCTTATACTGCGAGATGGTGCCATCCCGTCACTCTCTGATTCTGCATTCTAATACAGTACTTTAAAGCAATGATATGCTTTGCTCTCTTAAGTTACAATGAAAGGAGCTACTACAGGCATTGGAGGTTTGCAGAGAGAATACATAAGCTGTTAAGGGAGACTTAAAACCATCCTGGGCTGGGCATGGTAGATCACACCTGTAATCCCACCACCTTGGGAGGCCAAGGCAGGCAGATCACCTGAGGTCAAGAGTTCGAGACCAACCTGGCCACCATGGTGAAACCCCATCTCTACTAAAAATACAAAAATTAGCCAAGCGTGGTGGCACATGACTGTAGTCCCAGTTACTTGGGGGGCTGAGGCAAGAGAATCACTTGAACCTGGGAGGCAGAGGCTGCAGTGAGCTAAGATCACGCCACTGCCCTCCAGCATGGGTGACAGAGTGAGACTCTGTCTCAAAAAAAAAAAAAAACCATATCTCATTCTTCTGAGAGCAGGCTTCACTGAAAACTGAGGACTCTCTGGAGAGGGTGCCTGGCTAGCATTCCAGGAAGCCTGTTCCCATACCCCCTGCTCTGGCTAAACCAGTATGGGCTCTGGGTTCTCGATGGGGCCTCCCTCACTTGAACCTCCTGCTTCTGGTGACTGTGGATGTCCAGTCTCCTCAGGAGAAAGAATCTGATCAGTCCATAGAGTCACCACCAGGACAGGGACCTCCACTGGGCAGAGCTCAGGCCAATCACAGCTGAATCACCAGCACCCAGCCCTGGTGATGAGGTCCAAGCTCAGCCTTATACAGGGGTCTTGGAGGTGGCAGGCACTCTAAGACTGCCCGTAACAGCACTCATAACTGACAGGCAACTTTTATAGCCTGTCAACTACAAGATAAAATCTTTATCTTAAAGATACTTCTCTAAAATGCATGTACAGTGAAATTGATCGATATAGTAGAAAGAGACCTGTGTTCTAACCCCAGCTTCTCTCTCATCTGGACAAGTTACTTAGCCTCTCTGAACCACTGATGTAATAACCCTACCTTAAAAGCAGTCTTATAAGTCTAAAATGAGTTGAAGTGCCTAAATGTACATCCACATATTTCAAAGCAAGGTACTGGATTTTTCATTTTGACGTGCTTCTTCAGCCTTTCTTCAGTGGCCAGCCTATTCCCAGTGCCAGTGCCCAGTCACTCTGCCTTTGCATTTCGGGTCCCATCGTGGGAGTTACCGTTAACCAGAAGCCATATTGTTCTCACTGATTATTTGAAATTTGCATATGAAATGTTAGCATGTTTACACCCTGTACTTAAAGAACTCCTAAAGATAGGCACTCATCTGGGAATTATGACAGATATCTTCAGAATACCTTTAGGGATTTTCAAGAATAAGAAGTAGATTTCTCTTGCTTAAGTAGAGGGGTGTGTTTCTCATGGGGTCCTTTGCAAAACGCCCTGTGGGAAACTCTGGTGCCTAGGAAAGGCCAGATTCTGTTGTAAACTGGGGAATCAGACCTACCTTTCTGTTTTCTTCAATCCACAATTGTTCTTTATTTGCAAATGAGTCAGCTAGGAACAGTGCCAAATGAGGCTCTAGAAGTGTAAGCCCTTGGAAAGGTGTTGTACTGTACTTACAATCCTTCATTGATGAGCAGTGGCTAGCTACCACTGAAGATGGGGTCAGTGCCTCTGAGCTGGGGTTCATGTTGCTGCCCATCAGGTCCTGGTGTGGGCTGGAACCCAGAGGTCTTTGACGTGCTATATTCCAAGCATTAGTGCCCCAAGTGGGTCCCCTGCTTTTCCTCAGTTGTCTCTTTAGCAAATTCTCAGCTCATCTGGTGGGTTTTGGAATAACGTTTTTTTAACTCAGTATCCATTTTGCCGCATCTGTTCCATTATTGCACTGAGTTTTTAAAGGTTGTATCTCCAAGATAATGTTTAAGTTTTGGGAAAGTGTGTGTCTTTCAAGTCCCTTTTTCCTTTAATCATTTGAGGACTCTTTTGTCAGGTGTGTGTGTGTGTGTGTATACCTGAGAAAATATGCACATGCACTCCTGGATGCACACGTGTACACATTTACTTGCACATGCCATTGAGTACCCGTTCGGTATGAGGTACCATATTATGTACTGGTGCTGTGGGAGGACCATGGCTCAGAGCATCTAACTTACAGGTCTAAGGTCTCATAGCCATTAAGCCATCATGGCAGGACTAAGGGAGATGCAGCAGATCTGCATTGGCTTCATATCATGGCGAACAACCAAGCTAAATCTGCGAGTTGGCTGTGCTTACCCCTGGCTTCCTCTGAGTTGGAGCATCTGAGTGTTACTCCTTCTAGGCCAGTATAACAGACCAGAGGCCTGGCTTTCTCACATAGTTACTGATGAAGAAAAAGAAACATTTTATCTGGGGAATGTGAGCAACCTCTAAATTATCAGGCCCAGAGAGGCATGGGAATGAGACAGCCGCCACATCCTACTGCCCTCTTGAGCTAATTAATCATCTCTTGAAGCTACCTACTATGTGGCCACAGGTAGCCTAAAATTAACCTAACAATGCTGCACACCAGATACCTGACCCGTACCAGATAGTTCAATCACATATAGCCAATCACTAATCAATGCTATTTCTGCAAACCAGTGAGAATTCCTGACAAATACCTTTACATCACCCCACTCCTTGTCACTGTTCTTGTGTTTAAAATCCTGCTTGTAGCAAAGGTCAAATGGAATTCATATCCAAGGTTACTTGGATGTGAATATTCTAGGAAGCTGTTCTTATCTTGGCCTCAGTAAACCCTCGTCCTATTGATTTTGCCTCAGTTTCTCCCTTTAGGTTGACATGGCTATGCTAATGGCAAAGGTTTCATGACAAAGCCCCCCATGCCCTGCTCCCAGTGCAGGCTGGAGAAGAGGCCAGTTTGTCCTCCTGTGGGGAAGAGGAATACTGTGAGAATAGCAAAGAGCTCTTCCACAATATTGTCTTTATTTTCAAAACACTCTTCACTTCCCTGGGTGTGCTTGCTCAAAGGGGTATGCCATAACAGGGCACCAAGAGGCAAGGGCACCAGTTGATCCAGTTTGCCAGGTATTTCCGGTGAAGCTCCACCCTACACTGCACTGTCCATTTCACAGGTCCACAGTTTTTGGGGTGTTTTTTTTTTTTTTTTTTTGAGACATAGTCTCAGGCTGGAGTTCAGTGGCACAATCTTGGGTCACCGCAACCTCCACCTCCTGGGTTCAATTGATTCTCCTGCCTCAGCCTGCCATGTAGCAGGCATTACAGGTGCCCACCACTATGTCCAGCTAATTTTTGTATTTTTAGTAGAGATGGGGTTTTGCCATGTTGGCCCAGCTGGTCTCAAACTCCTGACCTCAGGTGATCCACCTGCTTCAGCCTCCCAAAGTGCTGGGATTACAGGGGTGAGCCACCGTGCCTGGCCTCACATGTCCACAGTTCTAAAGGAAAGCACCCAGGCGGCATTCACTGGATGCCAAGGGCAGGTCATGAAACTCAGGATTGACATCAGCCCTGTGAGCTAATATAGAAGATCTTTGCATACCCCAAATGGGTATTGATAAGTTACCATACCAAGAGCAGGATATTGAAGATAACCACGTATCAAAGATCTCATACACAGAGGTCTCTGGGCAAACACCTCTAAGATGCTTCTCAAGGCTACTTTAGAAAAGCGTTTGTGGTGCCCCTGTCCTCCAAGGTTGTTGTCCTTCATCGTCACCATACCTACACATAGGTCCATAGGAAAACTGCTATTTGACACTTACTCCTTTTGTGTCCCTCTCACTAGACTGTTAACTCCTTGAGGGTAGGAAATCTGTTGCTGTTATCCATGGTACTTCCCATAATGATTGCACAATTAGAATATTCGCTGAATGAATAAGATCTCCTTAGCCAAGGATTCATACTGATATTACATAGTGCATACACACATATATGTATGTGTATATTTGTGTCTGTTTGTATTATAACACATGCATATGTGTATATGTATACACATACATAATACATATTTTAGGCACCTGAAGCTTATCGTTTGGGGAGGAATGGGTTTATTCCTCTAGAGCACTATAAATGCAGAATGATGGACTTAACGCTTGAGCCACATTGATCCAGGACGATCCATGGGAAGTGCTCTTCTGAGTACTGTAAATCCCCGATATGACTTTTTTGTTAAGTTTCTTGTCTGTTGTTTAAGCTTTCTGATTGCTTGGATTAAGGACTGATGATAACTTACGCCAAGGTAAAAATGTTACTAAAAAAAATTGTAATTTTAAAACCTTTTGGAATGTCTTGAGTTATTCTTTCTCCATCTAAAGCAGCAATTGAGACTTGGCATCAGAGGATACCCTGTCTTCCCCATTGCATGAGGAATCCAACCATCTCAGGAAGAAGAGTGGAAGATGATTTTTTAAATGTCAAAAAAGGCCGGGTGCGGTGGCTCACCCCTATAATCCCAGCACTTTGGGAGGCCGAGGCAGGTGGATCACAAGGTCAAGAGATCAACACCATCCTGGTCAACAAGGTGAAACCCCATCTCTTCTAAAAATACAAAAATTAGCTGGGCATGGTGGTGCACGCCTGTAGTCCCAGCTACTCGGGAGGCTGAGGCAGGAGAATTGCGTGAACCCAGAAGGCGGAGGTTGCAGTGAGCCGAGATCGTGCCATTGCACTCCAGTCTGGGTAACAACAGCGAAACTCCGTCTCAAAAAAATAAAAAAATTAAAAAAATAAATGTCAAAAACAAATTGAACTTCCTCCTGTGCATCTCAACTCAGCTTCTGTTGCAGACCTTAGATGCCTGCTTTCCATTATTCCATAAGAGAATAATTTATACAGCTGTAAACAGCTTAAAAGAAGGACACACTTGAAATGCCTTGTGTGGTTTAGGTGCTCACTATTTTAAGAGTACAGTTCCCTTTAGGGCAGGCACAGAAAGACAAGACCTGTGAGTAAACTCACTGGACTCATCAAACCCCCACAGACCCTTTGATGTTTTCGAAGAGCCCACTGGGTCCTGATCCCCCAGCCCCTGGAGCCTCGATGAAGTGTGTTCACGCTCACTGTGGTAGGGTCTGGCCCTGCAATGCAGGACATCTGGACACGAACACGGCCTCTTCCCAGAGAGATGAGATGGAAGAGAATGACATTAAGGGTTCAGAGCATGAGCTTCAGGAAAAAACTGGATTAGTAATTTAAAGAAATATGTACCTGAGATTACTTGAATAAATAGCTTCATTCTAAAAACTCTTCTAACTCCCTTAGCATCTATCTTCACATGCACAAATTTTCTTTTAGAAAGAGGGAGTAAATGTACGTGGGTGAGACAAAGAGCTGAAATAATAATCCACCTTTGATCAAAACTCCTTGTTATAGTGTTCCCTGTGAAAACAATTTCTAATCAATGAGCGCTGCCACAGCACGCTGAGGAGTAATTACCTTACATGTGTTTCACTCTGAGCTGTGATTAGAAACAAGATGTGGGCTCAGAAGGGCAGAAGACAATTATAAAGAGGAAAAACCTCAAATAGGAGCCAAAATGTGCAGGCTGTAGGATATTTAATCAGCACAGAGGCCTGCTCCAGGTAGTGATGCCGACATTCGTTCATTCACTAGGTAAAGATTTCCTCTCTGTGCTAGATAGGCGTCGGTGGTGGTATTAGCAGCCATGTAAATGTAACTTATCACATGTTGCCCTTATATACAAAGATAGGGCAACTGGCTGGCTCTCACTGAAGCATGAGCTTGACTTCAGAGGTGCTCTGTGCCAGAGGTGGATTTGGGTTGCTAAGGCTACACCTTCTGACCAGACTTCCCAGTGGTTGGGAGCCAATTTCCAAGCACAAACTGCTTGGTCCATAGTCTACCAGCCTGAGCAGTCATTGTACCTGGTCTTCATGAGACACCAAGGCCTGAAAAAGGGAAAAGAAGACTTGGAATTTCTACCTGGAAAAAAAACTTGAAGAGGGGCTAGAGTCAAGTATGTGGCAGGCTTATTGAGAAGTCAAAGGCTACTTGGTCTCTGTAGAGAAGCTAGAAGAGGCCTTTGGCTGGACGGTGCTTGCTGGTGCATTTACTATACCAATGAGAAAAAGATTCCAAACTCTGACAAATGTTGGATGCAGGTGTAATGAACACGTGTACACACTGACAAACAGACATGCTCATTGTGATGGCCCTGCACCTGTGGGACACGCCCAGGAGCAGGAACATCTTCATTTGTCATTAAGACAGCAGATTCTGCCACAGCACCATCACCACCTAGCCATAGCACGGCCACCCTTGGCAGGTTCCTTCCCATCTTGGAGAGGTACCAATCATGTTTATTCGTTCATTCATTTGTTCATTTGTTCTTTTCCTCCCTCCCTCCCTCCCTCCCTCCCTCCCTCCCTCCCTCCCTCCCTCCCTCCCTTCCTTCCTTCCTTCCTTCCTTCCTTTCCTCCCTCCCTTCGTCCATCCTTCTTTCCTTCTTTCTCTCTCTCTTTCTTTTCCTTTTCCTTTTCTTTCCTCTCAGTATCTCCCTCTGTCACCCAATCTGGGTGGTACAATCACAGCTCACTGCAGCCTTGACCTCCCTGGGCTCAGGTCATCCTCCCATGTCAGCCTCCCAAATAGCTGAGACTATAGGTGCTCACCACCATGCCTGGCTAATTTTGGGGGTTTTTTTTGCTTCGCATTTTGTAGAGATGGAGTTTCACCCTGTTGTTCAGACTGGTCTTGAACTCCTGAGCTCAAGCAATCTGTCCACCTTGACCTCCCAAAGTGCTGGGATTACAGGCGTGAGCCACTGGGCCCAGCCTGTTGTTGCCTTTTAACTCTTGTCTTCAGACAGCTGAAAGAATGCCAGCAGATTTATTCGCATGACCTTAAAAACATACTCAGCATCGTTAGCCCACCTTGGCCTCCTAGCATGCTGGAATTACAGGCATGAGCCACCTCAAAAACATTCTTGTTAGATGATATGCCCCAGAGGAAAGCACGGACATTCTGAAGTTTGACCTGCCTGTTCTAAACTATCATGGGCTGCTTACTTATTTTGCCATGTTCCTAAGGCTCAGCCTGCACTCCTACCCCTAGTAGGTAATGATCCAATTTTTAAAATTCTTACCCTCTGCAAAATGATTGAGAGAAACTAGAATGAGTGGCAGGCTTAGTAGAGCAGTGGTTCTCTGGATATGTTTACAAATGGGAATAGCTGCTCACTCCGGATCTTTGAAGACTCACCTAAACATAACCTGGAAAAGAGACTGAGCAAACTCCCAGAGCCGAATCAGCCCTTATGATTCTGAAGAAGTGATACTCAGGAACAGAACAGTACCTCATGAAACAGCTTTGTGTGAAAGGCCAGCTAACCAACTTGAATGAGAATATTCTCCCCACTTTCAAGAATGCTCAAGTTTTTCTGAGCAAAAAACAAAAAAACACTTCTCCTGCAAAGCTCCTACCCATCAGTACATATTAGCCACCTTGGAAATAATAGACAAAATGTCAGTCATTCCTCCTCTGGTATAAAATTAGGCACTGGACAAGAGTGCATTTACCTGCTTGCAGGCAGAATTAAAACAGCCATAATGTGCTTTAAGTGTCTAAGGAAAAATTTGGCCAAGGCTCTGGGCCAGTGTGTCTGTTGTTATTTTAGATTTATTCAATTAGAGTCACAAGCAAAGTAAATTGAGCTGTGTTGTTGATTTGAATATTACCTTGGAAGAGAGTGTAAAGAGATTAACAAACCCTAAGGGATGGGGGACAAGTGCCAAGCTCCTCCTCTGTCCCCACACGCAGTCAGGCCAGGTTTTACAGATTCATTTAGGAATGACGAAAATACATGCAGAAGAGCAGATGTGCCTTTTGTTTAGGGCCACATAGCCATTTTCTTGCTTCTCCATCCTCTGAAACTTCCTGTATGTGTGTGAACTGCTGCAGAAATGAAGCTGGTGCATGTGAAGGCTGTCGTTTAAGAAGGTGGCCTGTCCTGAGAACTGGGGGGTTGGATCCAGTCGAATCCTGCCTTTGTCTTGGCAAATGTATTGTCTGGCACAGCCGGCTGCATTCAGTTGACCTGGTGCTTTGACAAATTGGCACGGGTGAAATATTAAAATTAATTGCATAGGCCTCGTATGTTTCTAGACGCTATAGGATAAATAAGCTGTGCATTTCAACAAAGAACCTTTTCAGCGTTACCATTTTTAGTGCCATGTGGCAATTGGTTGTCTCACACTCCCTTCAAAGAGTGAGGCATTTTTACATGATTTTACTTAGTTTAACGGAGGTAGGGACTAGAGTGATGCCAGGAAGCCATCCTGTTTTTAGGACTGAAGGGGCATTTTTCAATGTAAGTCTCCTATGATTTGGTGGATTACAATAAGGATGAGTTTTCTTAGAATAAGAAGCTAGAACTAAGACGACAGAGAGGGAACAGCAGGGAGATGCAAGGTAAAAATGGCGAGGTTTGCTTGGGGTCACCGTGTGTCCTTAATTAAGACTTTAATGACATTCTTACTCCTGTGGCCTCTCAGAGTGTGTCTAATGTTGCCCTCACATCCAGGCTATAATATTCTATCGAGAATTAGATTAGAGAAGAATATGTGCAGGCTGTAGTGGTTCTGACTGACCACTGTGGTGTGACCTTGGACAGGTCACTCAGCCTCTTTGAACCTGCTTCCCACCTGTGCAGCGAGGGCAGTGGGATCACACAGTTTCATGGTCCACTCCAGCATTACCAGTCTGTGGTCTGTGTGCCACAGCCTTGGATTTCACAGCCCCTCGACTTTTGAAAAGAGGAGAGGTTTTTAAAAGAATGCCTAGTAGGGTGTGTATTATGAATCTGTTTACTATAACTGTAGTTGGACCTTGGTATCCATGGGGGATTGGTTTCGGGACCCCCAGCAGATACCAAAATCCAGGGATGCTCAAGTCCCTGATATAAAATGGCATAGTATTGGCATAAAACCCACACATATCCTCCTGTATACTTTAAATCATCTCTGGATTATTTATAATACCTAATACAATGGAAATTCTATGTAAATAGCTATTATACTGTATTATTTAGGGAATAATGGCAAGAAAAAAGACTGTACATGTTTAGTGTGGACCAAACCATCCTTTTTTTATTTTCCAAATATTTTTGATCCATAGTTGGTTGAATCCATGAATATGGAACCCATGGATATGGAGGACTAACTATATTTTGTTTTTCCTAGCTCCTTGTAAAGAGTTTCATCAGAGAGTGTCTAGTGAGGTGGGATGAACCCCTCCACGTCCCCTTTGCTGATTATCAGCTATGACAAGCTCCTAGTTTAGAACTTAGGAACAGAAGAATGAAAACAATGGCCCAAATGCGTTTTTGGTTTTGTTGATTTGTTGTGTTCCTCACCAACGGTCAAGGTAGAATTGTCTGCTGTTACTTACTACTCTTGTCAGGAAGGGACTTCACCTTCATCCCATCTCATATAATGAGTCTGACTCTAGGCCTATCTGCCTTTTCCTGCCTCCTCCCACTTTCCCACCTCTCTTCCTGGAGGAACTAATGTCTCATTCCTCTCTGTCCCCTTGGTGTAGTTTGGTACATAGCAGATAATCAAAATATATTTGTTGAATGCATTGGTCCAAAGTTTAGGGCTGAGAAGATGAGAAGGAAAACATAGAACCAAAACTAGAATTTAATGTCATCAACCATGTCCTCAAAACAAAATAGAAACTAACATTATGAGCTAGGAAAGGTAGAGCATGTTCACGTTTACCAGCCTGAGCCTGGAAGGCATGTTTCCTGCCTACGTATTGACTAGAGTTAGCTAAAAAGCTTTGGTAATTGATTGATCACTTATGATTTCTGTATCAAAATGGAAAATATATGACTTATTCTATCAGACTCACCCAAATCACTGCCTTCTTTGTTCAAAAGGTAAGAGAAGCTTATCTTTTGTATGTCAAGCATCACACCTTGAAATTAACAGAGCAAAACAGGTCCAAAATAAAACCTGGTGATGGGGAAAGGACTGACAAATGCAGGTGAAATGCTAACATGTGCTTTAACTTCCACAGAATCATCAGTGCATGACACCACACACCCAGTGACCCAAACCACTTTCTAAATCCTCCTCCTTCTTTCATCTCCTGTAATTAGCACGTAACCCAATGGTTAAGAATGTAGAATCTGAAGCCATACTGCCATGGTTTGAATCACACCTCTGTATTCACTCACCATTATTTTAATTTATTTGTGCCTCACTTTCCCGATCTGTAGAATGGAGGTAATAATATTGTCTACTACATTCCGGTTATCATGAAAATTAAATAAATTAAATACATGAAGCACCAGGCACACTGCCTCTGCCTCTGCCTCAATGACAGTTATGTTTCTTATTGTAAACAAATACACTTTTGAATATACTTTTGTTTGGTTTGTACGTAGTCTGCAAGACCTAAGATAATTCCAGAGAATCTCCCTTCAGTGAAGTCACATACTCCAAATGGGAGTAAATTCTTCATGTTGAACACAATAACCTCATGGCCTTTAGCAGCCAGCCAGCCTCCTTTGCCAATTTGCCAACATCGACGCCTCTTCAAACTTTAGAAAAAGGGCTGGCTTCTTGCATGGAGCCCTCACTCCCTGCTGTCACTTGCTGGCAAGAACACAGGGTCCCCAGGTGGGTGCTTATGCCTGTAATCCCAGCACTTTGGGATGCTGAAGCGGGTGGATCACAAAGTCAGCAGTTTGAGACCAGCCTGACCAACACGGTGAAACCCCCTCTTCACTGAAATTACAAAAATTAGCTGAGTGTGGTGGCAGGTGCCTGTAATCCCAGCTACTCAGGAGGCTGAGGCAGGAAAATCGCTTGAACCCGAGAGGCGGAGGTTGTAGTGAGCCGAGACTGCACCACTGTACTCCAGCCTGGGCGACAAAGTGAGACTCGGCCTCAAAAAAAAAAAAAAAAGAATATAGGTTCCCCTCATATCTCCATGTCATCTGTGACCCCATCAACTCCCCTCGGTCAGCTTGTTTCTGTCCCCAACTAGGGTGCTGTATGTCAGGGTTTTCTATGTCCTGAATGGGACTCAAAGGTGGCCTCCTTCTCCCTGCACTCAGGATCCATTCCCTATAGGACAGAGGGAGGAAACCAGGGTGTTTGGACCCACGGTCACTAGGTGAGTGTCCTTCCTGAGTTCCTATTTTATGAGCCTCAGAGCTCCTTCCCTTCCTTTCTGATGCTTTGTTTTTTCCTTCTTTTAATCTCTTCTTTTCTCACTCTTTCCATCTGCCTTTCATAGGATTCAAATCCAAAGGCTGGATTTTTGGGTTACCCTACTCTCTTTATTTAAAGTGTTTCATTCAATTCCACTATTATTTTTATAGTAATTTCAAGTTATATAAAAATATTATGTATTAGCATGTTTAGTGCCTGTCTCCCGTAACTAGCAAACACCCTTTGTGGAGGCAAGGATTTTGTCTCCATTGCTCATGCTCCGTCCCCAGGACTCAGACAATGCCTGGCACTTAGTAGGCGCTCAGTAAATAGTTGTTGAATGAATAAATGCAGTATAAAACAACATTGTCATGTATGTTTATAATGTCTGTGGGTCAATAGTTAAGGTTGGGATTTAGGAGCTCCTCATTATTCTGTAAAAAGTCACCAAAGCACACTGTGCTGTAATTTGTTAGGGGTTAATTTTCAAAATTATAATGGTGCTTGGTAGATCTCCTTGAATTAATGAGTCTTGCTGAATTATGGCTGATGTGAAAAGGTATATAGTTAGCATCTGTTTGTTCTGTGCATATATCTCTCTTCCATGCTGTACATATATTTTAAGGAACATTTCTTTGGGTGCTGTGTTTTTTTCTATTTATGTCTTCACCATAAAAATATAAATAGATCATTTATCTCCGGTATCCTTAAAGTAGCTTGCATCACTTCACTCTTTTAAACTTTTACATAACCAAAGTTTCTGTCCCCAGTACACATTGTTTGGAGGATTTGAGTGGTTGGGAGCAACCCTGGAACCTTGAGGCCAGCTTCTGGTGACCCTCAATGTTTACATGCAGGGCCAGGAGCTGAGGGTGCAGGCTGCTGGGGGCTTCACTCCCAGGAACACCATGCAAGATACCTGTGTTGTTCGCCCTACCTGGCACCAAATCAGATATTATGCTTAATGCTTAATATACAATATCTCATTTAAACTGATGGCAGCTCAACAAAGTGAATACCGTAGCTATTACCATTTTATAGATGAGAAAACCCAGGCTTAGAGAACTGAGTGACTTGTCCTCAGTCCATACAAGTAGAAAAGTGACAAAGCTGGGGTTGAACCCCCTGCCCATGTGATTCTAGACTCTGTATCTTATCTACTGGGCTGTGTAGTGGATAAGACTGATGGAGACCCACAGGCCAAGTGTGGCAGATGTAGTCTAGGATTGCTCATGAGCTGAAACCAGTCACTGTTGGTGGGTGAGGCCTGAAAGTATCCCTCTCATTGCCTTTTTCATGATAAGACCCCAGACTTTTTCTGAGAATGGGTTTCTTAGATTTCCTACTAGTACTTGGATCATTGGGAAAGGTGACAGTTGGCAGTCATATTATAGGGCAAGCAAGGGAAAGGGCCCCAGTGCTGGACCCGTTCCCTTTCCTGTTAGGAGCCCTTTCAAACCGAGGTCACAGGACTGAGCCTGGGGTTTTGAAAGAATTTATGGAGCAAAAGTGCAGGGGCTTCGGGAGGGGAGCATGGAATGCGGTGTGGTACCAGCAAAAGGCTGAGAGATGTCACATGAATCTTCAATGTCGAATGGTAGTTATCCTGGTACTAATGTCAGACTGGAACACATTTCTAATAAACAGTTCCTACTGGAAGAGGCCCCGTGTTTCCCTGGAGAGGGAGTATGCTGCAAGGGAAAGGGTTGGAGTTTAGGATGAAGCTGACCTGATCCTGAGTTCACTTTCTGACTGTATTTCTTACTGGTTATACAAGCTTCCACCAAGTATTTACCCTCTCCTGGTACCTCAGCTACTCTGCCAGTAAGATGCAGGGTTAATAGACTTTTAATTGAAGCTGGTAGATTGAACATAGCTTTAACCTCAGTTGCCTCTCAATACGGTAACAGTAAAGAGTTGGGTGCTTTTCCCTTCGGCATAGAGTAATTAGGGACTAAGTGAAGGTGAGAGGAGACATCAGCAACGTAATTTTAGAAGCTGAAAAGCAGATGGAGAAGGGGAGTAGTTAGGTTTCAGTAGACCCAAGAGAGCTGAAATCCAAGTTGGCAGGGGAACAGTCAAGAGGTAATCCAACTACAAACCCCTGGAAGATTCAGGAATTCGTAGTACCCACTTCCTCTTGAAGTAGGGCTGACACAGGACTGTCTAGTGAAAATGTGTTTGAGGAGCAGAACCCTCAGTGTTCTCCTCACTTATGTGTAGCATGAGGACCACTCTGCCAATCACCAACAAGTCTTCATCTTGGTAGAAGTCTGGAGATTTACTCTCGGGGGAGGATGAAAGCAAGGTGTTTCCACCAAAATGAGAAATAAGCTAAGACAAGATCCATGAAATAAGAGTTGCAACACAAAAGCAAGACAAGAACCATCCCAAAGCCTCTGCTGTGCCGTGGTCATCAGAGGGGATCTGTTCAGACTGCAGCAGATCTGAAGGCTCCAGGGATGCTTCAAGAGGATTAAGTAATTGCAAACCTAATAACAACCATGGCCTCTTATACTAATTGAGTGTTCATTGTGTGTTAGGCACAGTTTTAAGTATATCTATATTAATAGTTAAATCCTGATAGTAGCCCTATTAGATAAGTAATCATTATCCTCCTTTTCTCAATGAGGGAATCAAGGCTTAATCATTAGTCCAGAATTACATAGAGGGTAAGTGGCAAAACTGAGATTTGAACCCAGAGAGTCCGCACTCATAACCAGCGTTCCATGCCTCACGCCCCCATCACAGCAGGAGAAACCAAGCTGATGACAAGTGAACACAGCTGAGAAAGCTAGGGAAAACAGAACATTGCACAGAAAAGAAGTCATTTTAGTCCACTGTGGGGCTCAGTAGTGGCCCATACAGGTAACAGTGTGAATGGTGGTGTGATGGGAATCTCAGCATGTGCATATCAGGAAGATCTGGGCACAGGCACGGGGCAGGAGGTGTGAGGCGTGAGGCGTGAAACAGCTAAGTGCTTTTCTTCTGTGATGCAAAGGCAATGCCTAAAACAAATAACAAACCAGAAGTAGCAAGAAAAATAGCTTGTTTAAAGATACAGAGACCCACCAAAGGAACCAACTAGAAAAATTGAAAACAGGTCCCCCGTAGGCTGACTGGGCAGACTGTGGCAGGATAGGGGATGGGGGCTGCTGTCTTTTAGGAAAACTCCTGAGAATTATTTGACCCTTCAAATCTGTGCAAGTAAAACTTTGCTAAAAATAAAAGCTAAACTTTAGAAGGGAATAAATACCTGGCAGTACTGTTATAAAATCAATCTGTTTTATCTTCCTAGGAAATCGGTAAATGTTAGTTTTCCTCTTTCCTTTTTCTTTCAAAGGACAAGTTCCCATCCCAGGCAGAAATGAAAGCCTGGTGCAGTGCAGCCGCTGACGGCTAGCCTCTCGCAGAATGGCCCGGCTGCCCTTCAGGCCTTCATTTCTCGCTTGCTAACTTCCAGGGAAGGACAGAAAAGCAGGGGATTCTGTTGACAGAGACTTTGATGAGTGCTTGTTACCATCCATGGCCTTGTTGGGTGCCTGGATTGAGGCCCAGCAAATGGCCAGATGTGGGGTGTCACTAACATGAGTAGAGCACCTCCCGTGGCCATGGAAAGAGGCAGTGACAGTGTCTGACTGCATCCGAGGCGCTAGCAAAGGTGTCCTCCTGGCTGCGGGTAATGGGGGAGCTGCCCCAGACAGTCTGTAAGGCAGTGAGGGTTTCCTTTCAGCCACCTCCAACTAGGGCAAGAGGCCAGTATCTTGAAAGGCAGAGTTTGGGGTTTGTGTGTATGCAGGAGAGAGAGACAAAGTGTGTGTATTTATAAAGCATGCCATATGCCATTTGTTCAATGCAATATGCCACTTTATTTTTAATCTCTTCTTACCTCAAAGACAGGGAAAGCCTATTAATTAGTTACTCTAGTCATACATATATGCAAATATATCTACATTAATATTTAGTGTTTATATATTGATAAATTGATTTACAAATGCTTTTCATTTCTGGCAGAACATCAGACATTAATGAACCTGGATCCTCTTACTGAAGTATCATCTTGTTATTTTATAGCAGTTCTTCCTACTACAAGGTAGTTATGAACCTGATGTTAACAAAAACACTACACTGATTTACTGTAATCTACTGTTCAGTAACACAAGTGAGCTTTTCTCTGCAAACCCTATTGCTCCAAAAAGAATTGAAGAAAAAATGTTTTACAGTTCAGACCCACAAGTATTTATTGTGCACCTACTACATGGAAGGTACTGGGCTGGCTGCAGTGGATATAATGAATAAAGCAGGCTCAGTTCTTAGCTCTTTGCATTCTATTTTGGAAAGGAAAATCCTAAGAACTAACTGACCACAACATCAATCTGACAAGAGTGGCATAGGAGAGGAACAAGCAGGCCCCTCCTGGGGGATCAGAGGGGAAGACATCTCATTTCAGGGATCAGGAAGAGATAGCGGTGAGTTGAGCCTTAGGGATTTGCACTCTCGGAATTATATAATAACACATCCCCAACCTTCATTCATTGCTTCATTTACCCATTCAACAATTGTGAGTGCCCGTGATGCTCCTCTGGACCTTGGGGATGCACCAGAACAAAGCTCACCTTCATGGAGTACACAGAAAAGGAGAGTGGAAAAGGCAAGGCTGCCTCTCCTGCTCTGACTCTGCCTTGGTTTCTGTGAACATTCAGAGGTTTCCGGTGTAATGCACGTGTGACATTAACCTTCAGCAACGCTGGGAAGTCCTTGGTGGTCTTGGAGTTTGATTGGCATGGGTGCTGTGTGTAAGTATAGTCTCAGTGGCACCCAGAGTTTTCTGACAGCATCAGGACATCGCTAGTTGAATGAGCACTGTTTCTCAGAAGCTTCTGTTCTGATCTTTTGACCATGGAATCCCAGTCACATTAGGGCTCTAAGTCCACAGAGGAGCAGCAGGAGCAGAGACCTTCTATGGAAACCAGGGCTGCCCCATCCCAGCTGGGTCGTAGGTTAGGGTGGGTCGGCTTTGATGGAACACAGCATCCTTTCTGAACCACCCTACCTGCCACATCCATGGATTTGCTCTTGGCAGACTGTGGGGTCGGATGACTCTTCCCCAATATCTCTGTATTAGCTGATAATCATCTTAGAGAGATTAAATCAGAACTTAAAAATGTTTTCCTGGAGTTGATGTTTAAAATTCCAAAAGAAAGATGTTGTCAGACCGATACAACCTTTGTGAATAATAGCTTGGATGACATTAGTTGCCTCTATTGTTAGGCTACTGCCCTTCCCCTTAGGATTAACTGAATGTTCAACAAGGATGCGCATAACACTGAAGACCCAAAGCCCTGTTACTCTGAGAGGGTGGATTCCAGGCCCTGCAAAGACTGTGTTGGTGGTATATACACATTCCCTGTGTATGTTGGGAGTCCCATGCACCACTGCGCCTGAGACCTGTCGGTGGGTGGTTTCCGCATCTGTCCTGTTGGGAAGTGGTTCTCCTGTAATTATAGTTGACCCTCGAACAAGTTTGAACTTCATGGGTCCACCTATACGTGGATTTTCTTCTGCCTCTGCCACCCCTGAGACAAAAAGACCAACCTCTCATCTTCCTCCTCCTCCTCCTCAGCCTACTTAATGTGAAGATGACAAGGATGAGGACCTTTATGATAATCCATTTCTACTTAGCTAATTGTAAACGTATATTTTCTTTCTTATTATTTTCTTAGTAGCATTTACTTTGCTCTAGCTTACTTGATTATGAGAGTATAGTATATAATACATATAACATACAAAATATGTGTTAATCAGCCATTTGCACTCTTGGCAAAGCTCCTGGCCGGAAGTAGGCTATGAGTAGTTATGTTTCAGGGGAGTCAAAAGTTACATGTGAATCTTTGACTGTGTGAGGGGTTAGTGTCCGCAGCTCCCATACTTTTCAAGGGTCTACGATATATGCTTTTCTCTCCTTGAGAAAAAATTTTTAGCCAAATTTTGTCTTCCTTAAACCTGTAGAGCTTGAGCTTCCAGCTTGTGGTCAGAGAAACCTGTTTTGTTGGTGTTGAGCAATAATCCTTTTTAACTTGATTGATTTTTTTTCATTCATTTTGTCCAGGATCCCACCTTTCACTGCACTGAGTAGCTGTGCATGTTTCCTACCACTGTTCCAACAAATTACCACAAACATAGTGGCTTAAAACAACACACAGTGATCATCGTATAGGTGCAGATCAGATGCCTGAAATCAGTTTTCACTGGGCTGAAATGACGTGTTGGCTGGCCTGGCACCTTTTGGAGTCTTTAGGGGAAGATCCATGGATTTGCCCCCATTTCCTGCATCTAGCGGCTCCTGCATCTTTTGGCTTGTGGCCCCTTCCTCACATCTCCTCTGACTCTGGCCCTTCTGCCTTCCTCTTGTAAGGACTCCTGTAATTACATTGTGTCCACCCAGGCAGTACACATCTCCCCATCTTACAATTCTTAACTTAAGCATGGTTGCAAAGTCCTTTTTCCCATGTAAGGTAGGATTTTCTCAGGTTCCAGGGAATTAGAGGCAGACGTCTTTGGAGGACCATTCTTTTGCCTGCCACAGGAGCTAATTAAACATTTTTAAAAATCAGTTGGCTATTTCCTTTCCCTATCTCTGTCTCTGAGTATTTATGAAGCAGGTTTTTGTTGTTGTTTTTTGTTTTGACACAGAGTCTTGCTCTGTCGCCAGGCACCAGGCTGGAGTACATGCAATCTCGGCTCACTGTAATCTCCGCCTCCTGGGTTCAAGCAATTCTCCTGCCTCAGCCTCCCTAGTAGCTGGGACTACAGGTGCGCACCACCACGCCCAGCTAACGTTTGTATTTTTTAGTAGAGACGGGGTTTCACCGTGTTGGCCAGGATGGTCTCAATCTCTTGACCTTGTGATCCGCCCACCTTGGCCTCCCAAAGTGCTGGGAATACAGGCATGAGCTACCGTGCCAGGCCTGAACCCAGTTTATAAGACACATGCCTCACTTCCTTGTTATAAAGTAATAAATGTTAGGCAGTGTCTCTCAGTTCTTCAAAACAGTTGGGAAATGATTAAGTTGTCTTTGCAGTGAGTGTGGATTATCACTCTGAAAACTGGACTGGAACTCCAGGTGTGTTGGATATCATCCTAGGAAACCACTAACACTCTACCAGTGTCTCCATTTTTCTTGGAAACTCTCCTTTCATCTCCAAGTGCAATAGAATACAAGGAAATGTATTTCTTGTTGTATATCTGTTGCCGCTGTCGTTGTTGTGGCTTCCTGCCTTCTTTATCCCCTGCTCCAGAGCTCCCATCTGTCCCAACACGTCTCTGACTTTGCTGTGGGAACCTTGACCCCCTCTCACACACATCAGCTGTAGCTGGCTCCAATCTCTCATGTGCCACACAGGCACAACCAGGTAGCCTAGAATTGGAAGTGCTTGTAGAGGAGAGGAAATAAGCTGAGTGAGTAATGTGCTTGAGGTCCAGGACCCATTTCACTGTTACCTACCCTCTGATTCCTGCCACCCCCCAGAGGAGTGACATTAAACAAACTCTCGATTCTCCACCATGTTTCTACTTAGCCCTGTTCTTTTTTTTT